AATAAAAGCAGCTTCACTTCTCTCGCTGCCTTCTCTCCATCTTCCCGGAGGTTTTTGTCAATCATCTTTGACCTCTCCGCCGCAGCCTTATCCTCTGCGCTCACAGTGCATCCCATGGATCCGGTGATAAGGGCGCACCGACCACTTGCGCAAAATAAAAAAAAAGAAATGTATCTGCAGATTTTTAAGGTTATAGATGAAACAACCTACTCTATACCACTGTTAATCATATAATTTCTATCAGTGCTCTTTGGTCCATGCCGAGACGTTCTAAGCCCCCTCTGCCCTACATCCATCCATCCATCCACGGGCTCTGAGATTCCTGCGCCCGCTCGTCTCCTCAGCCTGCTTTGCTGCTGAACAGCGCGTCCCTCTGTGGTGCAGCCAATTAGTCTCGCGCGAAAATCCTCTGTTATCGTCACGCTAAAAGTTGTCAATCGACCGTGCTGACGTCACTTCTGCAACTTGTCGCGATAGTCCAATTAAAAGCAGGTGAGCTCTCAAAGCCCTGGACCGAGCGAAAGCAATTAGAGGGAAATGAGGCGGTGCGGAGATGTCGGGGGGAGTACCGCTTGCAGACTGCTGTGGGCGCTGTTGCTGTCTATTTCCTCTACATTTCTGCAGAATATAGGTTAAAAAAATGGAGCAATACAGGGTAGCTACACTATTGCACAAGCTGGTTTGTGACTTTAAAAATGGTAAATGTGCCCATAGGTGTTTATGAAATGCCGTGGCACGTAAATTGGCCAGCTGAAAAACTAGTTCACAGCGCCACCTAGTGGAATTAACCTGCACATGGCCCCTCAGTAACATTCAGTGTACATGAAATTTCTAAAAGGAGCTCCTGCCCTTTAAAAATTTTACAGAATGACAGAGAAAGCTATATTAATCAAACAAAAGCAGGCTAAGACAAAATGGCCATCATAAAGACTCTTGAAATAGGTCTATAATAAATTTAACTAATCATTTAATCTCAACAGTTAACAAAATATACTTATTCACAATTTGAGCACCAGAGAGATAAAAAGTTACAAAAATACAATCACAATTCAAAATAAATGTCGTTTCAATGTATTTTACAAGACATACATTTAATGTGCATAAATAATCCAATTATATTATCCTTATCTCATTCTTTTCTTATCCTTATCTTATTTTATTCCTATTTTATACACTGTTTATATGGGAAAGGTGTAATATTGCTGTGTGGGTTGTAATTTTACTATTTTTACTTATTTTATCCTGTCTTATACTATATTTTATTTTGTTCTATTTTACCTACAAACTTACTTTTCTTTCATCTGTAAACGGTTGCACTGCAGGAAAAGCATTTCCCACAAGGGATTAATAAAGTAATTCTGATTCTGATGCAAGAGAAAATAGTTATAACTGCAAATAATAAAGATGTGGACTTTTGTTTTTTAATTCAGCTGACAATGATGTGTTTTTTCTTAGGTACACTGGTACATTTCTAACATCGCTATCTACATGTGCAGAACAGTTAATACAATCTTAGAAACAAGAATTACAAATTGCAAAACCTAGTCAATAACCTTCGGTTTGTGCTTCTTGTTTAAAATGGTTGGTTCTTTCCAACTTTTCAAGATGAAAAGTCTGCATATCATTTGTGAACAAGTAAGTCGTATGGATTTGTCTTTTTATTATTTTGACCTGACATATATTACTCTAAGGATCTTGGTGGCACAACCTGAAAGTGCTTGAGCTAGCACTTTATACACCATTTGAAAAGCAATTTGAAAACTAAAGTAAAGTTGCCCTCTGTATTTTTAGTGAGTGCACTAAATATCAGACAGTAAATATGTATATTTTGACATTTTTATTGCATGTGCTCTTTGCAGTGCTGATTTGTTCACAGCATTGCGCAAAACAAAAAAGACCTTACTTATCAGAAAGATTCTCTCTCTTACGTAGAGCTGAACACAACCGTAAATGGTATTGCAATACATATTGGGAATAAATATAACAGATAGTAATGCAAAGCATTTATGCACATCCAGATTTTCCTCTTTCTGGGGACATAGTTTCCTATGCATCATAGTTAATATCATCTTTTGCAATGCGGCAAGGAAAATATCTCCTCAAGTGACAAATCCATAATCTGCAGGACTCCACTCTGACGTTATCACGTGCTGCATCCTTGGGCGCTAGCAGGGTCATTTGGGTATGAGGATAATGGTCATATACCTTCCACCACCAGGAACAGAATAACTACTCTACTGGATTTAGAAATCATCTTGTTATGTGCTGTAAAATACAGTTTGCTCATATCTGAGAGGTGAAATCGCACATTATCCCAAACAACAACATCCTTGTTCAGATAGTCTCCAGTTAGACCATTCTCAGGAATTATGTCCCTGTAAAAACTCAGCAGAATTGGGTTGTATGGACGAAGACAGGGATATGGGTCAGGACATTGTTTTGTGAGAGGGTTGCAATGGTTGCTGTCTTTCCAATCTAATATGTTCTACATAATGTATCTTGGAAAACATATTGTATAGGATGCCATGTTACTACAGTACAGATAACTGTTATTTACAAATAGCATATGACACTACACAAACTAAAATGTTTACAACACAAAACATTAGAATATGTATAGAACACATACATTCTGTACATGTGGTACATTCATCCTACTGACAATTGGCCTGTTCTTCCTCAGCTTTGTTCTCTTCCTCCCTGCACTCTTCCCCTTCTGCCATGAGGCTGAACATTTCTGTGTCACAGTTTGCTCGAAACGGTACGCACTGCTCCTTTTATAAATAGTTTTAAAAAATACTGTTTGTTTATTTAGGGATAAAAATACCTCAACCTGCTCAAGAGTGATTGTTGTAAATATTACATAAAAACTTGAAGAATATGAGAAAATGAACAAACAGTGGTTACCAAAAATCTATCTGAACTGGTTGAAAGACAATGAAGACAACAGAGGCAGTATAACATCTACAATTATTTTAT